GTACTGGCCCGCAAAGCCCCACAAGTCGAGGCGCTGCAGCAGCTGGCTGCGCGTGATGTGGATAGGGACATTTCTGATTGCCACCGTCGTCTTTGGCGTGTGCCCCCCCTGGCCTTCCACCTCTTTCGCCTGCTTGTCCACGTCAGGGGAGCCATCAAGGCGCTCGACCTCCCTCTCCTGCCTGCTCCAGGGAGGTTCGTCCCTCCTGGTCGGCGCGGCTGGCGTCGAGAAAGCCCTCTTTACGAGCTTCTCCACAGACTGGCTGCTGTCCTCCTCGACAACTTCGATGAAGGTGTCCTTCACGACAATGCGCATCCCAGTGCGCAGGAATGGCAGACTCGCGTGATGCGAGAGAGAGGTATGGAAGATACCGAACACAAGGGTCTGGGTGAGAGACAGAAGTGTGCTCGGCAACCAACAAAAAATACTTGGGCCAAAATGGATACGCGCGGTGGACGGGGATCATGTTTTGGAAGCGAACAAGCTGCATCACACACAAACTGTCCGAGCTCCACTTGGATTTCCTGGATCTGCGCTGGGGCCCCCCCTATCTGGCGCGCGGAGCGCGCCAGGAGGGGCGCCAGGGGCCGCTTCCCTATACCCTAATTATCTTGGGGGGTACATCGGCCAGTGGGGGCCGGGCCACGCCCATGGGGGGGGGTCGTTTAAACGATGCTCAGGTACTCACGGATTTCGTAATAAAGTGGGGGGGTCGCGACCCTCCCAGACGAGCAAGTTTAGACCACCCCTCCAGACCAGCCATGCAAAAGCAGCCTTTTGCCCAGGCCCTCGAGACCCTCCAAGACATCTCAAATCCAATCCCCCCCGAATCATACCCCCCCCCCTCTGTCGCGAAGCTGGGAGCACGGAAAGAGAGGACATGAAGACGAACAGCCGTTCCTGTTCACTTGGAGCAGGGCTCGCTGTCAGCGTCGCCGCGGGCCCTGGCCTCCTGAGACTGAAAAAGCGGTTGCCCAGCGGCGGCCACGGTCGGCTCTGCACAGCGCTTGCTGCTGGGCATCGTGCCCAGTTTTCCCGTACCCGCTGCGGGCGGGCCGAATCCCAGGGAGAGCTGGCTTCCCAGATCCTCCCTGGGAGGCCCTGCATCGGGGGCAAAACAACAGCACCAAGCAGACAAACTGTGGGAGGTCCGCGCGGGCTGCGTGGCTCGGGTGCTCGAGGGGCCCCCGGGTGGGCCCGGCGCCGATCCGAGAGACCTGCGCGGCTCTCCGAAAGCTTCTGCTCACGCTTTTCTTCGGCCCTCCGCAGGGGCACATCTAGAGGAAAAAGAACTATGCACATGCACCGATTCTGGCCAGGCCCATCCTGAGCCCAAGATCGGTGCATACGCCCTCCTACCTTGGCCAGGAAGGCATATGCACCGATCCTGGGTCAAGGATGGGCCTTGCCAGGATCGGTGCATGTGCATAGTTCTCTTCGCCCGAACATCCGCATCCCAGGTCACCCCCAGTGGCGTGGAGAGGATCGCGGCGGCCAGGCGTGAGCCCTACCCCCCCACCCCCAACGAGTTCTAAGGGGTGGGGGCGGGGGCGCCGAGCGGAGTGGCCCACCCACCCCCGGTCTTAGAAATCGTAAGGGGGGGTAGGGTTCACGTGTGGCCACCCAGAATCGCGCCTTGCGCATCGCGGATCGACCTGGTGAGGCGACCTTCTCCAGGGCGGCGGCGCGAAGGGCGCGAAGGTGACCACGCGTCGCCGCATAGCGGGGCGCGCTGGAGGGGGATGAGGAGAAAGAGGAGAATGAGGAGGAGGAGGAGGAGGAGGAGGAGGAGGAGGAGGAGGAGGCGGAGGCGGAGGCGGAAGCGGAGGCGGAAGCGGAGGCAGACGCGGAGGCGGAGGCGGAGGCGGAGGCGGAGGCGGAGGCGGAGGAGCAGAAGCAGGAGAAGGAGGAGAAGGAGACGGGACGGAGGGAGGATGAAGGACGGGCAGGAGGACGAGGAGGGAGGCCTAGAGGAGGAGGGAGGGAAGGAGGGAGGGAGGGAGGAAGGAGGGAGAGGAGGAGGAGGAGGAAGAAGAGGAGGGAGGAGGAGAGGGAGGAGGAAGAGGAGGAAGGGGCAGGGAGGGAGGGGCAGGGAGGGAAAGAAGGGCAGGGAGGGGCGGGCGAGGTGGGAGAAGCGAGGCCGGGTCACCCCGAGGGCCGAGGCGCGCCCCCGCCCCCCCCGCGGTGCGCGGCAGCCTCCCTCCTCCTCCCTCCTCCCTCCTCCTCCCTCCTCCTCCCTCCTCCTCCCTCCTCCTCCCTCCGACTCCACTATTTGCGTGTGTGTCAAGTTCGCCACGTTCGTCTGGGACGGAAGGGTTCAGATATCGAGGCTTCAACGTGCGTGGACCTGTTTGAGAGATATCATGTCCGACAACCCTACTTGGCAGCAGGCTCGTGGTCCGCTGTCGGCGGTGTGGCTCAGCCTGCTTCGCATAGGCTGGACGATGGTCAATGCCCACACTTTTCGCAGCGATCTTGGTACAGATATTTCGCTGCTGGTGGTGTGTCCCAGTGATGTGCGAATTGCGATTATCGAAGGGGTGCAGCGGTGGCAGATACGTCGGTTGCAGCAGCACCTCTATAACACTGACCCTCCAGAAGGGGAGCCTTGGTTTCGTGCACTTCGTCATGGTATACGTGCCGTAAAAGACCCGCGTGCTCTTGGGGCCCTTGCTGCCGTCTGGGGGAATGTGGTTCCGCTACCTGCTGCACTGTCTGCTCTGCAATATGATGGGCTACCTGAGTGCCTTGCCTGCTCCGCTCCTCAAGGCACGTACGGACACGTGTGGTATGCCTGCTCTAAGTTCATCACCGACGACGGGGTTGACGCTTTGGGTGACGAGGTTCCTGAGGCCCTGGCTAGGCATAGGCGCGTGTTGATCCAGTCTCGGGCCTCTATAACTGGGGAGCCCGATGTGCACTCTAATTATTTAACTTATGGCATTCCTCCCTTGCCTACCAACATCCCCGCTCCGCTAGCCAACCCACCTGTTTTTGAGTTTGGGGACGTCTCTGGGTCCTGGGGCCCTCAGTCTTTCACTGATGGTAGTTGCTATCACTCTGGGGTCCCAGAGGTCTCCAGAGCTGGTTGGAGCGTTGTGCAGTTATTTGATTGTTTGCTTCCCCTGAGGGCCGTATATGGAGCGCTCCCAGGTGAGCGTCAGACCATAGGTCGTGCAGAACGCTGGGCTGTGCGGCAGGGGCTGGCTTTTCACCCGCAGCATCAGAGTATTGTATCGGACCTCCAGGCTGTTGTGCGAGAAGGCAATTCTTGGAGCCAGCATCTCTCCCAAGGCATGTCCAAGCATGCCTCGATCTGGAGGTCCATATTTGATCTTAAGTCAAATCACCCCCAGTTCTCATGGGTCCCAGCCCATCTGAGTTTCGATGACGTGTTGGAGCGTGGTCTGTGTGTCAAAAGTTGGGCTGGGAATCTGTGGGCTGACTTTTTCGCCAAACCAGGGGCCGGCTCTCACACGCTTTCTGAGGGTTTTTGCGCGGCTGTGTCAGGGGATTTTAAATATCATAAATCCACGGTGCGATTCATTGCATGGGCTGCCCAACGGCTGCTCGAGTCTGGCACATGGACGCAAGTTGACCCTGATCGTTCCCTCCGCCTCTTGAGAGCCCCTGCCCCTCCGAAGGTCACGGTCACTAGCCATGTGTTGTTTCGCTGTGAGGCCACCAGCACCTATAAGTGCAGGAGCTGTGGCCGTGTTGCTCGCACGTCGGAGTCACTTAAGAGCCTGCTCACGAGTAGAGACACTCGTGACTGTATGCCGTCACCGATCCAGCGACACGTGTGCGACCAGTGGTTTCGTGAGTTTGGGGCTGCGTTTAGGCCCGTGCAGCTGGAAGCGGTGAGGGTTGCTCTGGCTGCTGCTGACGAAGTTCAGCGTGTGTGCACTGATGAGGTCCAAGGTCCCCCAACTCCCGTGGCTGAGCCCGAGCCGTCGGATGAGTTTTCTGCCTTTCGGGACCTTGGGCACGACGTTTTTCGTCACCTACATGTGTACTGTTGCAAGCTGTGCGGGGCTCATGGCTCTCTCGGCTCGCTGCGAAACCTCACGCAGCAATGCCAAGGAAGATCCAAAGTCCCGAGCACGGCTGCTAATCAGAGAATGTCCATCCGTCGGCTGGAGCGTGGGTGTTACCCCAAGACGGGCGTGAAGATTGCTCTTGACGCCGCCGAGCGCGACGATGACCGCGCGGAGCTCCGCCGAGTTTCCATTTCTTTGAGGCTGCTGGAAGCGGCCCGTGGGCCCGAACCTGCTCCTGATGGAGCGAGTTCGGGCTCTGACTAAACTCGTTTTAGTTTTCTTGGGCTGCCCCCGTCGTCTGTCGCCCGTCGCCTCCCCCCTCCCCCGCCGCACACGTGTGCATCTTCCTGGTGCTCTCGGCGCTGAGGAGGCTGGTGAGCGACGAGGCCAGGCAGGCGGGGCGGCCCCCTTTCGCTCGGCCCACGCCCTTGCGTGAGCTGGGCCTTGCCTGAACTGGACCACCAGCTCGAGGCTTGCCTCTTGCTGGTGGCGTGCGGTCCGCGCGTCCTCCTCCTCCCTCCCTCCTCCTCCCTCCTCCTCCCTCCTCCTCCCTCCTCCTCCCTCCTCCTCCCTCCTCCTCCCTCCTCCTCCCTCCTCCCTCCCTCCTCCTCCCTCCTCCTCCCAGCTGCGGGAGGGGCCTTCGCGGTGGCCGCCTTCTTCCTGGGAGGCCCGGCCAGGTCGCCGCCCATCTGCGACGGGCCCTGCCGTCCCGGGAGGCTTCTCTGGCAATGTTCGGAGGCAACTGCTGGGAACTCTGCGTCGGGGGGAGGATCGAAGAGGATGGAGCCCCACTGGGGGGGGGGCTGCTCCGCCGGACTAGACAGCGGATTATTTAGCGGGACCGAGCCCGATGGAGCGGGGTTGAGCCCGATGAGACGAGATCAAGCCGGATTCGGCCGGACTTCGGACCAGGGCAAAGTCAGAACTTGACGTCATCCTAACCCAGGAAGGCCTCCCTGGCAATGCTCGCTCGGCCCCCCTCGCCCTCGCTCCGACCCAGACATGCGATGTCTTGAGAAGAGCAGGGCGGAGATGTTCGCTCCAACGCCAGCCACCGGGTGCCCATGCTGGGCCCAAAAGGTGTCAAAAACGACTCGGGATGAAAGACCGGTCCGGGGGAAAGGGTCAGAACTTCCGGGAATCCAGTACTGAAGCGAAACATGGCATCGCATGTATGAAAATGTACCCTGACCGCCAATCTGATTTGTTCAATCCGCGTCCCCAGAGTTCCCGACCACTTCCCCGTGGGTAGCGTTTCGTCCGGGATCCACTCTGATGGCGTCAGGGCCCGCAAGCGTGCCCACGGGCCGGACTGAGAGAGAGACGCCCAGATTGAAAAAGTCACATTGGCGGAGACCTGGCTACACAACTCCCGGTCCCAGGATGGGCCGTGCCAGGAGCGGCGGACATGTATAGATCCCGTCGCCTGACCCAAATCCCCGACGTCACGATGTTTCCCACAACGTCGACCCCTAGAGGTTTCGCCCTATTCCCAAGGACCGGTTTTTCATCCAAAGTCGGCTTTGGACGGTCCCAGGGCCTGGCGAGGGGTCCAAGAGGCCAAAAACCTGATCGGACAAGAGCGGGAAACGCCGATTTTGTCCATCGGGCTCGTAAGGGGGACACGGAAGAGACAGATGATGGCGACGACAAGGCGGCGGATGTCGAGGATGGCAGCGTTGATGACGGGGAGGGCAGCGAGGGGGGGAAGCGGAGAATGAGGAGGAGGAGGAAGAAGGACGACGACGACGACGACGACGACGAAGAAGGACAGCAAGGAGACCAGCGAGAAAGACGTCGAAGAAGAGAGGAGTGGTCGTGATCGTTTGCGGCTACCCTGTGGGCTGTTGACGCCGCCTGAGGCTATCTTGGGGCATCCTGGGGGCCTCTTGGGGGCCTGTCGGGGTCCTCTTGGGGGCTACTGGGGTCTTCTTGGGGTGTCTAAGTATGTTTAGGGTGGTTCTGCGAGGGCTATCACAAGCCATGATTGGCGCCATCTTGGGCTGTCTTGGGCCGTCCGGGCGCTCTCGTGGACAGTCCCGGGGCCTCTTCGGGCGCCCTTGGGAGGCTCTGGGCGGCTCTTGGGGGCCTCTTGGGGGTCTCTTGGGGCCCTCTGGGAGCGATGTTAGTTTGGAGATCTTGGGCAGTATTGGACCTTATTGCGGGCCTCGTTGACCATCTTGGGGCAATCTCGGGAGCCTCTTGGGCCGTCCTGGGACGTCGGAAGCTCGAAATGGCGTCAACCACCAAAACATTTTTTTTATTTTTTTATTTTTTATTTTTTTTATATATATATATATATATATATATATATATATATAAAAAAAAAAAAAAAAAAAAAAAAAAAAAAAAAAAAAAAAAAAAAAAAAAAAAAAAAAAAAAAAAAAAAAAAAAAAAGGCGTTTTGCCTCTCGGGGCCCTCTTGGGAGGGTTCTTGAGGCTCTCTCGGGTACCTCAAAAGCTTCTCTCTTGAAGCGCTATTGGGCCATCTTGGGGCCCTTGAGGGACCGTTTAGGTGCTTGGGGTTATCTGTCGCCGTCTTGAAAGCCTGTTGGTCCGTCTCAGACTCGAAATGGCCATGTCCCGGAAAACCTCCAGCGAGGTCCCGAAAAGAATCCGTGCCCTTTAGTCAGAGAACAGTTAAAATAATGTGCTGTCGGACGATATAACGGTCCACGTCAAAAGAGTTTTTTGGGGGGGAACCGCAACCCCTGATCAAAAGGTCTCGCGAGCAATCACAAGGCCAACCGCGTGGTCAACCCGCGAGCATGCGCATCCAGAGACGTCGCGCACGAAGCTTACCACCCTCCGGTGGGAGGCTCGCACATCACTACCTGGCCCTCTGACCAGGGGACTGGCGGCAGGCAAGGAAACTCAAACGGCGCAACGCGGCAGGCGCAAAAAGCATAGAACAGCGATGCTGGAGCCGCCCTGACCAGCAGCGCAAAGCCGGCACACTCCAGGATGGCTGAAACGAGGGCGGCAGACAGACAGGGGCTGCGGGCCTAGCCACACTCAAAGTTACCAGCGCAGCAGGCCTGAGGACAGGGAATAGGCAGGAGACACGCCAGCGTTGGAAAAAAAAAACAAACTACATTGTGCAACAACTGAAACCTCAGCAGGGCGAGCGCAACAATAGTTGGCCGAGACTAAGCACTGCAATCACTGTCGGCTCTCACGAGCCACGGAGGAATGCTGCACCAGTTTCCCATTCTGCTTGATCCGAAGGTCACGGACTTGGTTGGTGCAGTCGACCGCAAACCGCCGGATGTAGGCACACAGGAAGCCAAGCCACTTGGTGGGTCCCACACGAGCCATCTGGTGAGCGCGACCTCCGCTTTGTTGTACAGCTGGGGACAGACCTTGCTGAGGGTCCTCAACTCCGCTGCGTCGAAGTAGCGGACATGTCGGTCCGTAGGCTGGCGAGTAGCGTACACGATGGCCTGTGGTGTCGGGATCATCCTGAACTTCCTCGAGCCAAATGACCGGGCTACAACAAAACAAGGTGATGATCGAGGCCCCGACGCGTCCCAACATTTGGGCCATCACGCATATCCCGTGGCAGTTGCAACTGCTGTGTCGCCGAGTTGAATAACCCCATAGCGTCGACCTGCCACAACGCCCTGGCCTTCATAGAGATCGGACCACGACCGCGCTCGCCATCCGGCGGTAATGGCACGGCAGACACGGTGATAGCTCCTTGTGCTGTGCACCAGCTCGCTCCCATCATCGGCGTCAGTCGATGTCGTGTCGTGGAGCTTCACGGTGATCGTGCCGTCACCGAACGCTCGGCCCTCCAGCGTGGATTGAGTCGGCAAGCGATAGCGAGAAGAAGAGAAACGAGACACATCATGTACTGCCATCGACTGCGAGGCATGCTGCGCGGGGGCTTGCGACCCCGCTGACACGACGAAAATCGCCATAAACGCTCGAGCCAAGGCCTTCCAGAGGCGCTTCCCGTCATCCGCCACCGTGTCTGCGAAGCACGAATTGGAGTGTCATCAGGTCCCTTGCTCACTCCCCGAAGACTCAGTCCTCACTCCTGAAGATATTTCAAGAGGCCTGGACCCCACATGCTCAAATCTCCTGCGGCTTCCCGCGCGCCCAAGGCGTCTTCCCGCATGGCATGTTCGGGCCCATCCCTCCGCCTCATTCTTCTGGACCTTCCGCCCTAACTGTCTACCCCTTTTTCGATATGAGAGATGTGGGCTTCCTTGAATTACCTGAGATTTCCATGAGTTTCGATGAATTCTTCCGCACCTTCCGCGGAGGTCTGACGGCATGGAAGGTAGAGGTGGAGGGAGGAGGGCCCAATGGCGGGCCAAGAGGCCTCCAACATACAACCAAGGCACGGTGTTGGGGGCGTCCAGGAGGTGGGCGTCCAAGAGGAGGGGGCGCAAATCATGGCCGGCGGCACATGCGCGGCCCAGGGAGGGGCCTGGGACGTAATGAAAGTGGAGAAGGGGCGCCATGCAATCTGGGGAAGTATCGTTCGGCGGCGAGCGAGGGGGGGAAGTGAGAAGGAGAAGGCCTTCTCAAAAGGCGGTGGGACTTCTCAGAAACCCTCGCGCCTTCTGAGAGGTTTGTTGCATCTTCCGGGAAGGTTTAGAAAACTTCTCAGAAGGCTGAGGATTTCCGAGCCCTCTAAGAAAGCCTTCTCCCTCTCACGTCCGTCCCCCCTCGCTCGCCGCCGAATCGTGGCCCCCGCCAGGAGATCCACCCCGCCCCCTACCCTGTCTTTTGGATACTGGAATTTTCCAGTCGCGACCGACGAGAACAGTCGCCACCGATGTTGCTTCAAGTGTCGGTGTCGGTCGCGACCGATGTGCTTCAAACTCGGTCGTGACCGATTTGGAGTGCCGATCGGTCGCTACCGATCGCGGCTTAAAAAATCTGTATTATATGATATGGGCAGTCTTAGGCCGGGCATCTCCTCCTACAGGCGGACGTTTAAGAACTTTACAACATAGGCCCCCAAAAAACAGGAAGAGTCAAAAGAGCACGAACAAATCGTCCCCTAGCTATTTTTTACCCAACCCTGAGACCCCAGGATGTGCATTGATTTCTGGTGTGGGAACGTCGCGCTTTCCCCAGCAAAACCATCGAACCCCAACAAACCCAGGGCACCCTGGAGGCGAGCAGGGTGTTTCTTGGCATGGGCGTAGGTCGGGCATGTCATCCTACAGGCGGATTGTGGGCGAAAGTTCAAAAATAGCCACCAAAAATAACGCAATATTGATCACACATAGTCGAAACAAACATCGTCACCAGATTATCTTTTTGAATATTTTCGAATATTCCTCCTGTAGGGCAACATGCCCGACTTGAGCATGGGCCTCCACTGTAGTCATCGCCCCCCCCCTCGGCCGCCCCCGACGGCCGCATGAATGGGCCGCAGGCGCCAGCGGACTTCTGTGCGAAGCTCGGGGCCCCAGGGGGAGGCTTTCAATCAGCTGCGCGTCGTCGAGAGACGTCTATCGTGCGATTTGGCTGCTCCGATCTTCATGCTGTTGTTTGTTCCTCTGCCAATCGGAAAAAAAAACACCCATGTACACAAACTTGTGGCGCTCCACGCGGATTCCTTGGATCCGCGCTGGGCCCCCCCGGCGGCGCCTCCAGCGCCACCCTTGACGCCAGGGAGGGAGGTCCAGCGCGGATCTAAAACATCCACGCGGAGCGCCACAAGTTTATGTGTACGAAGTTGTTCCTGCTTCTGGTCAATGAAGGGGCCCTGGGAGACACATAAATCCCAGGACACCCTACATTTTCTCATATCTTCTTGATGTCTGTCCGTCTTCATCCCCGCCTCCCATCTTTTCCCAGATGTTCCTGGAAGTCGACGTGTAAAGGTGCCTGTGCGTGAATTGTTCTCCTCCTGAGTTCTGGGCCCCCAGGGGGGGGGGGGGCTTTCCATCCGCTGCGCCGCGTGGAGAGTGGCGTCAAACTAGGCGTCGCTCGGACGTCCGTTCCCCGTGAACGTTTGAGCTCCATGATCCAGGATCCTTCTCGATTGGAAGAAGAAAGAACGGCATGAACGTAAATCGGGGATGGACAGACCTCCCTTTAGTAAAACGTGGTTTAGTGAAAACGACTTCGGGCCCAAACCTGGCGGGCGCAAGCCTGCAAAATAACGACCACGGCGCCCTCACGAAAACCGAAAACGGACAAATCACTAATCGACGTGTCACTGTTGGGGGTTCTGTCCACCCCCACGTAAACTGTTGGCGCTCCGCGCGGACTTCTTGGATCTGCGCTGGACCCCCTCCCTGGCGCGCGGAACGCACCAAGCACCGCCAGGGGGGGGGGCCAGCGCGGATCCAAGGAATCCGCGCGGAGCGCAAACAAGTTTTTGTTTGTGACGTTTTCCCCCAATCGGCGGAGGATCAGACGCAATACTGATCGGAGCAGCCAAATCGCGAAGTCGCTACTCGCAAATGGTCGGGATCCGCCGCGGGGGAATCACGATCCGTTGCATCGCAGCAGCCATGTGTTTCTTGGACGTTTGCGAGTAGGCACTTTGCGAGTAGTGGAACGCGCTCAGTGATTCGTAAGGGGGGCCAAAAGCGGCATAAGCATAAATGTTCGACGGTCCGCGCGGACTTCTTGGATCAACACTGGCCAAGGGCGACGCCGGAGGCGCCGCCAGGGGGGCCGCCAATTGGGGCCGGTCTGGCTCCAAGAGCCTCAAAAATTCCCCCGCATCCCGTGCCAGGATCCCCTGGATGGAGGGGGTCCTGGCTGGGGGTGGGGGTGGGTTGTGCTGTCCTCGTCAAGGAGAACATGTTTGATTCGCGGCCATAGCGGGCGTTATGTGGGGGGAGGGGGGGGGACAGGAGGGAGCAGAACGTAGCGCCCCCCCCAATGCCGGGGACGCAGTAAAGGGGGGAAAGTTATGTTATAGGGGGGGGGCAGGGGGGACAGGCTAGGGGGCAAAACGCGCGTTATGACCCTGAGGGTTAAAAAGCACTCTCCAGAGAAGCGAACAAAAAAGTGGGGCTGGAGATCCCGTGAAGGCGGGAGTGGCCAGTGTCGGAGATCACTGCGCGATGGGCCAGCAAAGAGTTCAGCGTCCACGAACTCGTCAAAGGCTTCCAGCAGCACGCTGGGGTCATGGGCGGCGTGGAACGCGGCCAGATCCAGACGCTGCTGGCGCAGTGCATGGCGCACGGCATCAAGGGCCACATCGAGGAGTTCCTGGGCGGCCAGGCCAAATCCTGGCCTTCCTCGAGCAGGCCTCCGAAGCCCTGGGAAAAGGATCCGGTTTCATATTGGGGCGGCACGAACTCTGACATTTGGATTTTGGGGAGGGCGGCCCCTCCCTGGTGCCGCCTCTGAGGTCGCAGCCCCCTGCGCTCGAGGGGAGGGGGGCGGGAGTCCGGGGGGGGGGCCTTCGGGTACGGCCTGCGGCCCATGCAGGCGCCAGGGGGGGGACCGCCCTCCGTTCGCTGGATGCGAGGCGTCACAGACGCACGCATGTATCTTCTCCTCCTCCTCCACTTCCTCTTCCTTTTCCTCCTCCTCCTCCCCCTCTTCCTCCCCCTCCTCCCCCTCCTCCTCCTCGCCCTCCTCGTCCTCCTCCTCTTCCACCGCCTCCTCGTTTTCCTCCTCGTCCTCCTCCTCCTCCTCTTCTTCCCCCTCCTCTTCCTCCTCTTTTTCCTCCTCATCCTCCTCGTCATCGTCATCCGCCTCCTTCCCCCCGCCCCTCCCCCTCACTCCCCCTCGGGCCCATCGCTCGGGCGCCCATTCCCTGTGCACTGTTCGGTCTCGTGCGTAAATATTTCGCACGATGTTCCAGGACGTTCCTCGATGTTCCTCGCAAAGAAAAAATCCACACCTCCGAGCGAAAGCCAAGTCCTAAGGGTTGGAGGCTGCCCGTCGTCCGCGCCAACCTGTCAGCCATCCCCGACCAACCCTCTGGCCAGCCGCCCTGCTTCGCAACAACGACCCCCCACCCGATGCGCCAGGAGAGCTGATATGCTGGAGGTTGGGATGGTTCGGCGACGATGATCGATGGCCTGGACACACACAAGCACACACGCGTATATATACGCACACACTTTCCCAAGGGGGAGGGGGGCTCAACCCTCCCACTCGCGGCCAAGACGGGGCTCGCCCACCCCGATCCAGCCCCCACCACCCCCCACCCACCCACGCCCAGAACGGGTTGGCGCCCCCCGCGCGCCCCTTCTGCCCCGGGAAAGCTGCCCAAAACTCCCCAGATCCAGGCCCTGCACATCAACCTGAACTCTACACCGTCATGCGAACACCCGACCTAACACCCCAGCCGAACAATCGAATCCAAACCGTAGCAAACAGCCCCTGACCCGAACACATGAACACCTTCACCCAAGAGGCGTCAATGAAGGGACATTGGCGCGCACACAGAAATACACGCAATCCCAGGGCGCCGCCCGAGGTCCCCAAAGGCGGCCAAGAAAAAAGAGATCCCAGCGCGTCCGCG